TTTTATAATAGTAATTATATAATACACATACCCAAAAGCTAGAAACATATAAATTGTATGCTTATATATAAATTCATATATCCAGATATTGTTTGTGTAATTGTTGAAGAAAAGATACATATAGATGATAGGTAGTAGAAAAAAAAATAAACCTTAACCTACAATTAAAAGGGTTAGTAACCATAATTTTATTATATTTTTTAAACAACCAATTACCACATCCAAATTATATAGTTGCTATAAATGTTTGGCATTGCACATAGAATTAAAATTTATATTAACATGGACATTTATTTCAAAAAAAAATTATAGTCACATTTTTTTAAAATAACTAAATTATTACAATAATAACTATATAACAGGGAAAGCAAAAGATGTATTACTATATGGGACAATATGGTAGATATGTACCAAAAACAGATGAAAATAGAGAAACATATGGTGTTACTCTAATAATAAAAAGTCTGAATCCCAAAACATATTCAGGTTTATATAAAAAAACATATTTCATATTAATAAATTTTAACAATAAAAAAAAAATTAACAACATGAATTATATGTTACCTTTATTTAAAGAAGTCCGCTTCAAAAAATATCAAAATGATCCATTAAGTACTATTCATTCTTTCTCAAAATATTAGTTTTAATTAAATTTATATATATCATTATAGTATACAATTTTGGTTAATTGTGGTCGATAAAGAACACATCAAATACACGTGAAGGGCGAAAGCAATATTTAAGAAAAGTAAGTGATGACATTGTCAAAATTATAGAAATTATAGATTTTGTTGCCAAAGATTTTTTTGAGGTAAAAGAACTCAATTCTTTTTAAAAAATTAGTTAATTAATAATTATACACAATCTAAACTCATTGTGAAATTTTGATCATTAGGAAAAAGAGTTTATCATTGAATGAAAAGTTACTGAAATTAGTTCAAGAAATGGATGAAATTACATATCATGTAATCATTGCGCTAAAATACTTCTGAAAAAGGATGTAAACTTATTTGCAAAAATTGCACCAAACCAGATATTGTTGGCATATTACGATAACATAAAAAAACAATTTTTTGTAGTTTTATTACCAACATATTATTAATACCAAACACATTAAATTATGTATAAACTTGAGATTTTTGTCGAATATATCTCGGATTCACTTTTATTAACCACATTCAACAAAGACAAGATCCGTATTTTGGGTAAATCAGCAACATGTTTAATTCAATTTCGCGTAAGTATAATATTTATAATAATTATTAAACTATGGTGTATAATCAGAAATTAATATTTAAAATTACTATATGCAGAAACATTTATATAATGATTCATGTGAAAATGCAATTATCTCATACATTTCAGAAAATCTTATCGGGAAATTTTTTAAATTCATGTTAAGGTCATATCCTTCAATTATCAGTCAAGTTCAGCTCGATCAACGGTTACAAGTAACACATGCATTCAATTATTAATGAAGAGGTACAATATATTTGGAATTTAATTTTTTGTCAATACAAATCAGAAAAATTATAAAAAAAATTGACAAACTTACATTTCATTTTAACATCCTATTATAATCTATATTATAATAGTTCACTTCTAAGGCTTCTAAAGCTGTCCACATCAGCAAATTTGTGGGTTCCGCAAGTTTAAATTTTAAAAGGTTAAAGTGTTTTTAAAATGACTATGAACAATAAATACACTTTAGCAAAGTGGTATAAGGTATCTAATTAGTCCACAAGCATGTGGGTTCAAATCATGCAGCTGTTATGTATTTTAGTTTTTTTCGTTTGGATTATTATCATATGGGCTTTTTAGTTTTAATGTGTTTTTACCTCTAGACTTATTGTTTAAAGCCCAAAATAGTAAAAAAAAAATCCTAAAGTTTGACGAACTCAAACCCCAAAACAATTAAAATTGATCAAAAAACAAACAGCCCAAAAAATAAAAATAAAAATAAAAAACGAGTCCCACGCGGCACTATCATATCCTAATATATATTTTATGTTAGAACATATTTCCTAATATATATTTTCAAAAAATTATGTATGTGAAATAAAATAAAAACAACAAAATTTAAGTATTTTTTGTTATTTATAAAATAACTATGTAATTTCTCTTCAATTTTTAATAGGTACTATATTATAATAGTTCACTTCTAAGACTCCTAAAGCTGTCCACATCAGCAAGTCTGTGGATCCTGCAAGTTTAAATTTTAAAAGCTTATAGTTTATTTAAAATGACTATGAACAATGAATACACTTTAGCAAAGTGGTATAAGGCATCTAATTAAGTCCACAAGCAAGTGGGTTCAAATCACGCAGCTGTTATTTATTTTAGTTTTTTTCGTTTGGATTATTATCATATGTTTTTTTTTTGTTTTAATGTTTGTATGTTTTTTTACCTCTAGACTTATTGTTTGAAGCCCAAAATAGTAAAAACAAATCCTAAAGTTTGACGAACTCAAACCCAAAAACAATTAAAAATGGATCAAAAATGAACAGCCCAAAAAACAAAAAAAACAAAACGAGTCACACGCGGCACTATCATGTCCTAATATATATTTTATGTTAGAACATATTTCCTAATATATATTTTCAAAAAAATGATGTATGTGAAATAAAATAAAAACAACAAGATTTAAGTATTTTTTGTTATTTATAAAATATCTATGTAATTTCTCTTCAATTTTTAATAGTAACTATAATTTCATTTTTAACAGACTCCGGCGAATGGATTTCCACAGTCGATGACGCCGTAAATAAAAATACCACATTATTCATGAACAAAATTCAAACTTACAAAAAAAAAACATATCCAAACCTATCTATTGAAACCCAAACAACAAATACTGGCTTAAATTAAAGTTATTTTCAAATTGATAAATCGTTTAGTACAAATATAAATACTATAAATAAATAATTATATCAAGTTTTGATCTCCGACAAAAAAAACTATTTCCAACATAAAAAAAAAACAAGATAGACACCTATTTTTATACACTAGAAACTATATTCTAATTTTTGTTATCCCTATAAACCTTACTTCGCATATAGATAACATTTAACACATTATATATACAATATTTTCACTTTACACTTTTGCTACATTCTTTCCATTTCATCATTATTTGATATTATTAGAATACACTAAACCAACAACCGAAAAAAACACAAGTAAACATCAATAATCTCGACTCCGCGCTTGTGCGGGGGGTATGCAACTAGTAAATAAAATTGTTGACAGTGAGGACAGACTAGAAAAACCAATGCTTCTAAAGAAAATAAAACAAATAAAGGAAAAATATCAAATACATCGAAAGATTTTTTTTAAAAAAAAGTGAAACTGACAATCTAAATGAATGGCAGAAGCAATTGAAAAAAGTCAAACGAACACAAAAAATGAAAAAAAATTGAAGACAATTATGTTATTTAATATTGCTATGCTAAACGCATAACATCTAAATTTACACATTTTTAAACACAGATTATACTTTCACTCTTTTGTTATATAAGATTACTTTTTAAATTTTTATCTATATATAAAATAATTAATTTATTAAATGATTCAAAATGATTGATCAACAAATATAAATTATATAAAGATAATTTTAAAATAAAATAAAAAATTAAACATTCTTCCTAGTATAAATAATTACAGAATTGCAAAAACGAAAATTTTGACCATCACGTTTGAGTTTTCCATGCAACGTCTATCTAGCTCATGATACACCGTACAATAAAAGTCGTTACTGATACACTCATCTTCACATATTTAAAAGTGTTTATAAGCCTCTGTAGCGTCTACTCACGACATTACATGGTTCTGTCATTACAATGCAATGTTTTTCTCAAGTTCCAAATTGTTTTCACGACATTTACACGGTTACCATTTTGTACATAAACAATTTCGTCGATCAAAATATGGAATGGAACAATATCTTCTTTCACTTTATATAAAAAATATTTGTAATTCTCATAACTATTATGCATATACTACATTTTAAAACATTGAAGTTGATTGTAGGTAATAATCTATAACTGCATCGATAAGAGATTTTCTAATGGGACGTTGAAGTCGTATTAGTCCGAAAGAAAAAAAAAAGTATTAGTCCGAAAGTTATGTAGCCACTAGCCAAGTAGCCATCATGATTCAGAATTGGATTAATCATTGTAAATGTTTAGATTTACTGACGCTTAAAAATACAACGCCTTTACGAATACAACTAAGACATTTACTTTGAAGTATGTGTTCCAAGCTGCCATTCATGGATTGTGGTTGAAGAGAAACAATCAAGACATGGTGAGACACTAATACCATCGAGTAGGATGATCAAAATGGTGGATAGATTGGTTCGAAACAGGTTCTTTTTTCTTCAAAGGGCAGGAGATAACAGGATGGAAGGGGGATTGCAATTCTGGTTCTTGACAAGATCAGGATTTGGAGTGTAGAAAATGAAAATGTAGTTTCCCGAATTTCATTAGAAGCATAGATTCTAAAAACATTTTGATAAAAGATGCATTGTAAAATGTCCAACGGAGTTTTCTTTGAATAAGAATTTAATATTCATTAAAAAAGATACAACGCCTTATAAATATTGGTATACAAAGAAATATCATATAACTTTGTTTTAATATGTATATATTTTTAACTGGTTTAATATGTATATTACACGGGAAGAGACAACAAATAAAACACACTGCATACAAAATCTATGGGTGGTATTGGAGGATGCTGCCATTGCTTTCATTATCTTTATTTTCATGATTTATAGTTTTGTATCTCTCTTATATATACAAAGATAATTAACAACCATATGTGATAAGGATATTGGATTGTTGTCAGTGTATTCGACGATCAGGCTAGAGATTTGCTATTTTCAATTGAGACAGATAGCTCAGTTTGCATTAACAAACGATGGAGATTCTTGATGTTTAGCTTGATATTTTGCCTCAACTTACTGTGAGCTAACAATTATATTTTTGTCTTTGTGATTTGCAAAATGTGCAAATTTTACATTAATATACGAGTTTCTTATCAACTTAATGGTATTGTTTTTTGTAAAATTTTGAAATATAGAAGTACTCAAACAATTCAATTTTTTTTCCACAACCAAAATGCATTTTCAATCAAGACTCAAAGTGTATTAAAAGCAGACAAATAAAAAGATAGCTAAAATCTGAATAACAACCATTTTTGAGAAACCGAGTAAAAAAAGGAAGATAAACCTTATTAACCTTCTTTTCAAAGTTATGAGAGTTGCACTAACCTAATAATGCAATCTCAAGAAAGGTACTTCGTTTTCTTAAGCGAATGCAAAAACAAAGAATATTGTAAAAACTTCTTTAATGATTTCAATATAGATAAAACATGTATGTGTAATCACTTCCTCTCTTCATCTACTGAAGGCAACTTTAGAGTCCAGGTGTTCATACGCTCCTTAGTCTTCTTTACCTGTAATTAGATCAAATTCAATTTTTAATATACAGAGTTTGTGTTCAAAATTCGAATTAATTAAAGAGTAAAAAACCAAAGTAAATTACCTCCAATTCCCAATCAGTTTTGTAAATAACATAAGACAATATCAACGTTTGCATACCAACTCCAGCCAACATTCCTGACCACAGTCCCTGTAATTAAACTCATACAATATCGGTTAAGTAGGAATATCATTAGTTTTATTATTATGATAATAAACTTAAGGATACTACTGTAAGAGTTACGTACCTTAACACCAAAATGGCAAATATTAATAAGGATGAACCCAAAGGGTATACCAATTCCATAATAAGTTGCTAAGTTCACAATTGCCACCATATTCTGCATCCCTGCTCCAATAGCCACTCCTGTTTACATTAAAAAGTAATTTATATTTTTCGCTAGAAATATATTTAACGCTTTATGTTATACTATAATGAAAGTGGTTGATTATATACTAACCAGAGAGAATGGGCTGGACGATGTTTAAGAGTATGGATATGCAAAGGTCGATGGAGAGATCAGCGACTGCGTCTGAAACTTGTTGGCTATTCGAGAACAAATACGAAATCTGACCGCCAAGCGCTAGGCAAAGAGCAGAACATGTCACACCAACCACCGCTGATATCACAAGCACCACTTTTATCGAGAACCTTACTGCGTCTGCATCTCCTCTTCCTAATTCGTTTGCTACTCGTACACTACATTTTTATAATTCATAGATTATAGCTGGATCAACATATAATATAGCTAGCATAAAACAAAGAATATCTACATATATCTAATAGAAACTATTTTAAATGAGTATAGATATAGTTTACATACCATGCTGCACCCAATAAGCCTAAGCTTATGTTCATCTCCCAAGAGTATATATATTGGCTGCAAAATGGAATTTAGGATATAGTTTTTAAATGTTATAATAACATTACATAAATAGTTTCTTGCATGAGAATTTTTAAGTCATACCATATAGAAAATGCAGAAATTGCAATATTTGCATCCGCTGTATATCCAGACATTAAGACTATGATGCTCAGATACCAATACTCCAAGCTGTTCAAAGAAAAAATTAAAAAAAAAAAACATCAAACACAATAAAGAATCATTATTAGAACAGAACGGTCTGCGATTAGTTATATTACCAAAGCATGAATCCAGAGGAAATGGATAACTTGAGCATTGGAAAGAGATCAACAAAAGCAGCAGAGCTAAAACCGGTCCAAGTATGCGGGCACCACCCTCCAAACACGTACACAAACTCGCATATCACCAATGACCACGAGCTTATATTAAGTCCTAGAAGCGCACCATGGATGCCCATCCCCATCACACTCACGCACCACCACGTGGCCACAATGTCCACAGCCAAGGATACGGTCGAGAGAACGCCTATGATGGCATTCTTCATCTGTGCTTGGAGATACATTTGCATAGTCATAGTGAATACGATGCTGTATAGATAAGGAATCACCCAAGGGTAGATCTCGTCTACGGTCCTAGTGATCTCAACGTTTTGGCCTATTAACCGAAGAATTGGACCCGCGAAGACTACGAACGGGACAAAGAGACTGGCTGTCAAGGTGTCTATAATCCAAGAACGTTGTAGATATATCCCCATCATGTGGTATTGTTGTGCTCCGTATGCTTGTCCACACAGCGTCTCCGTGGCACTTGACATACCGGCCTGTAACAAAATAACATTATTCATTCAATCATACAATCTTGGTTCCATCATAAAATAGATATTTAATTAAACCACCACGTTTTAGTTTAGTGTTTTCACAAAGGTAAATATTTTTTTTTAATTCTGTCTTTTGCATGTTTCCGGTTACAATTACTTTTATAATGAGGAATGTTTAAAAATCTAATATTCTAACATATACCTATACTAGAAATGTCGATATGTCGACACCTGGATTCAAACCAATCATGGATCCTAAGGTGCTTACCATAACACCATAGATAAAACGAATGAAAGTGCTTTGCATGAGAGCATAGGCAGCAAGGCCCGTTTCACTGGAGTGGCCAATGAAGGCTTGAGCCACGACTATGCAACCAAACGACATCACTCTGAACAAAGTCGATGGTACAGCTATTCTCCACATCTTTCCTACTTCATTCCAAATCTTCTTTCTCAGGTAGAGACTCTCTCTTCTCTGTTCTGTTTCTGACCCATTTAGCAGCCTCTCTTCCATCTCTCCACCACCACTACTCATTTTCCCCCTGTTTAATTTCTATAAACAAAAATAAAATATAACTGATTTCTTATATAAACATGTCACAGAGATAAATTAAGCTTCAAACAAAATTTCATCCTGGTTTTGGGAATTTTTGTTTAACACAGCTATGCAGACACGACAGGCGATTAGAGAACTAGTAAGTAGATCTAGTTCTTTTTTTCAAAAAAAAGAAAAGTATATCTAATTCTCCAAAAATAAAATTCATTTGTTGATATAGAATTTTCTTCCCCATATTCATCATTAAATATATTTTATATATGTGCATATACATGTATACACATATTTGCTGTATATTCTACAAGATTTTAAAAGGTATTAAGTGATTTACTTACCTCTCCAACTTGGGTTTAGTAGAAAGAGCCGGAGAAACCAAGAACAACAACAACAGCAGCGAGTATTTATAATCAAAGAAAACAAAGAAGAAGAAGAAGAAGAGAGGCAAGAGGAAGTTAAGTGTTATCTTCTTCTTCTCTCCCTCTCTCTCTCTCTCTCTCTCTCTCTCTCTCTCTCACTCTGGGAAACTGTTGTGAGACTAAAACTAAAATGCTTAGCTACATATATAGTGAGAGACAGAGAATGAGAGAAAAGGGAGAGTATAAATATACAGACACTAAAAATGCATGTCCTCTGATGTGAAAACGTTATAAAACGGAAAGAGTGTCGTTTTGTGCCAGAACAACAATAATGTGAAGTTTCGGAAACCAAGTGCTGGTTCTAAATTTCGTTGATTTTTTTTTCTGTGGTCTGTTAATGTTAAACTATTAAAACTAATATAATTTATTTTGTTTATCGCGATAGTTAGAGCATCCGCAACAAGGAATCCTTAGGGGAAATCCTTAGGAAAAAAGAAAAAAGGGTATTTCAGATTATATAAGGATATTTCGGATTATTTCTTTAAAATAAAAAAATATGACCAATCGTGGACCGACACGTGGACAGTGGAGCCCATGAATAGTGTAAGGATTCATCCGAATCAATCATTACATAAGGATTTTATTCTTAAAATCCGTAACTATTCATGGGACCCATTAATTATAAAATTAATATTTCCTTAAGGATTTTCTCTAAGGACCCCTTGTTGCGGGTGGTCTTACATTTCATTAATGACAATATAACATACATTGTTATCTCAACTACTAATATTCAACATTTAAGTTTCAAAAAAAACTACTACTATTCAATATAAATGATATTTGCAACTAACTCTTCTCAATTGATAAAGATAGTGTCTACACTAACAGAATGGTCAGTTTTCACTATGCATATGGAAGAGTTTCTACAGTGTAAGCATTTCTTCCCCAAGGGCAAAGAATAGAATGGGTGGCAAGCTAGCACGCATGTTAGAGACCTGTCATTCCTTATGGTTTATGTCAATTTGGTTCCACCTCTTTGGCTATCGGACTTGAGTTCATTTTAGTCAGATTGACTTTTTGTTGAAAAACAAAAAAAACATAAATGGTTATATTTTTGGGGGGAATTTTCATATTTACCACATTATTGGTATCAATACTCAAGAGGTAAAAGATTATAATACCCTTGATTAATATATAATAAATAATTATTTAAATAAATAAATAAAAAAGTTATAGTTTTCGAATTACATGTTTTCAAATTTGAACTTTTTTGAATTTTTTCGATTTTTAAATTTTTCTTTTTGAGAGTCAAATGTTTTTTTTGAAACTATTTTTATAAATTTTTAATTTTTTCAAAAAAATATTTATTTATATATTTATTAGAATCTTAAATTCCATATTCCAAAATTTAACTCCCACCTCTTAACTCTAAATCATATATCTAATTTAATTTTAATATTATAAATGTCATTTTACCTCTTTAAAACTGGAGATAAAAATAGTTATAGAAAACATGGAAAATAGTATTAGGATGTAGTATTTTAAACAATTTCCCTATTTTCTTGAACATTTTCAAAATAAGTGGCTATATAACGCTATGTTCTAATGGACAATTTTACTCTTAACTTACATACTTTAAAGTAAAAACTCTGCTCTATCCAGACTTTTATTAATCTACATTATTCATGTTCTTTGACATTCAAAATCTATTAATATTAAGAATAGTTATCCGAATGAATTTTTGTTTTGCTGTTGATTTCCAAATATCAAACATCGTTAAAAAGAAAACACACACACACACACATATATATATATTTATATTTATATATATATATCAATACAATTAAAATAGAAGTATTATTTATCTATTCACAATCTATGTTGGGCCAATTCAATTATCTAATTTTTGTTATTTTGAATTAAATAAATTTAGTTATTGTTAAATATACACACAATCTTTTCAAAATAAGATGTTAAAATATATTATTAAGTATATTTTCTAATATTATATTTTAAGAATATCTTTTAATTTAAAATACAGATATTTCTTATTTTAAAATTTGTTTTAAAATTTATTTCAAAAAAAGTTCTTAATTATTATGAAATTTTATTACAAATGAATATAGATTCATTTTGATTATATAATAAGAAATAACATTTCTATAATACATATAATTCATATTTAAATTATATTGTTACCATAAATAATATATATATATATAATAACTTAATCTATTTACTAATTGTTTTATAAATTATAAATTATAAGAATTACATATACATAGTAATTTATATTCGTATAGTTTACAACATACTTCAATTTAGTAATGCTAACTATTAAAAAAAGATAATTAAAAAATGAATAATTTAATAATTTAATTTAATACCTAAATTATAATATTAAATATAATTTATTTTTTAATTTTATAAATATAATACTAAATTTAGTTGACATTAATATTATTTGACTATATGGTATATTGAGTTATATATTAGGATTTACAATTACAGTTTCTTGCAGTTTATTTCATAAAAATATAAATATTTATCATGTATGAGACGGATTGAACGTCATATAATTAATTTATATTTTAATAGGTATTTAAAATATTATAATAAATAAATTTTGACAAATATAACAAAAAAAAAATAAATTCATATTATAAGTACATATCATGATAGGATATATAACACATCGGTTTTGGATATAATTTGTATAATATCCTAAAACCCATAAAATAATCATATATCTTTTGAATTCGAGATATATTAGTTCGGTTCAGATATATGCGAAGTTAAATCCAAAATTTAAATCAAAACATAAGATGTTAGTACTTATTTATACAAAACTGGATGTTAAAGATATTTATTGAAAATTTAAATATTTATTTTTAGATAGTATTTCAAAATAAATACAGAATTGAATATTTTAGTTACATGTTTATGTTTCAATTAATTATATTTGTGATTAATTTGAACACTCGAATCGGTTTTCAGATTTTTTTTTTGTCTTTCCGATTCAGTTAATAACATTTCGAGATTAGATATGTTTTGTACCACCATACAAAATTTATTTTGATATTTCTTATATTTTAGACTGGATATAGATCAAGTTTTTTAGTTTGGGTTCGATTAAGACTTCAGATTACGAATTTTATATTCAAACCTACAATAAATAAAAATAAGATACGATTATATAACTTTTTTATCTTCTTTCAAAACGGGACCAAAATCTAACATATTAAAATCACTGATATAAAAAAAAAAAAAAAATCACTGATATATGACGTAGACTCCGAAATGTAGAGCCAATCACGCTTGGAGGTGTGATCCACGTGCCGAAAGAAACATCAACTCCATGCACCCCCGAAATCAAAGTTTGGACTTCTGGAGTAAAATCTGCATATCTCCCTCTCTCTTTCTCGTCAAATAAAATGGCCAATTGTGAAACAAATAGATGCATTTGCTTTAGGTTAGATCAATCATGGCATAGAGAAACGACAATAGAGGGGATGCCTTTATGTAAAAGTGCTTTTACTGACTTTAAGAACATCTTCAATCTATATAAGAACATCACTATTGCAAGTTTGAAGTTCTTATCAAAATATAAAAAGTTGTTTATTAATTTTTAACTAAGCCACTACTTTAAAAAGAGTTTTTTAAACTTTTTAGTTAAAAGTTAAAAAATAATTTTTTATGTTATCCTAAAAACCCGATCCTAATAAACCTACAATAATAATGCTCTAATACTGTTTTAATGTCAAAATTTCACTATTTTAGTGTAATTTCAAGTTTCAACACTAAAAAAAAGTTTTTCTCTAACTACAACACCAAATTTAACACTAAAAGCTATTTTATAATATTATATATATATATATATATTATTATTTATTTAATTACACATTTTATTAATAAAATAAATGAATAGTATTTTAGTGTAGGGAATAGTGTCACACCAAATTTAATGTGTAATGCTAAAATAGTGTAAATTTTAGTATTAGATTGAAAAAAGTTTTTGTATCAAAATCATACGAAAATAAAGTTTAGTGTTGGGCTAGAAATGGTCAAAATGTTTAAACAATTAAAAAGATATTTTTTAAATTTCCATGATTGTTCCATTTTTGGTATTACCTTTTTCTTAAACACTGAATTTTTCTTAAAAACTACGTCAGCAAAGAAGCTAAACCCTAGAAGAGCTACGTCCCGTTCCATAAGAAGCGCAGCTAATATTCCCTTGGTTTCGTGTCATTTGTTTCAATTCCATGATTAAACAAACTATGTCCCGTTTAGCACACAGTAAGAGACACATTTGATGACTCCAGACTCCAGAGTAAAGGGGGACCCGTATAGCTACATGTTATGAATATAAGTCGTGACAATTCATCCCTGGCAATGTGTCCACGATTCAATTGGATACGTTCCATCTGTTTTGTTTTTATTCTACTCCTACTAATCCTTGCATTAACTTTTTAAGAACAATAAAGACGACTTATAATTATGATGTATTCATCAGCTATCCAGTACGATTTGATTTCTCTTAATTTCTCACTTATGACTCATCCAACCAACTTCTGGCCAGAGTTTTATGACTTGCATTTCTCGGTTGTCAAGTATTAAATTGTAGCGTGCAGCGACGTATGGTTAGTTTTTATTTGTTGAAATTTTACTGTTTTAGCTAAGTTTATAACTTGCTATCCAATGTTATTGTTTTTCATGTTTCATTTGCGCAAGACATCTATGAATACGATGAGTGTTTTTCAGTCAAAATTAAATCAAATTGATGATGACGTTAAACAGAGATGACGTTTTTCTCAATAGAAACCCCGGTTAAAGTCGATATGGAAAGTATCGATTGCTCCGTTAAATTTTCCTATCTCTATCGTTCAAATCTCTTTTTTTCACTTTTTATAAAACAATCTTCCTGCTCCAAAATATATTTATTTCATGAATTTAAATGACTTACCTAACGACTGACAAGATGACGATGCCTTTTAAGTTGATATCCGAAAGAGTAGCGACTTTTCCTTCATGTTTTTTTTTTATAATATATTTATCCTGCATACATATTATATGATTTATGCAAGATAAATCATATCAAGTACAACTGCGGACATCTTGAAACAAAACTATTACGAAAACAAATAATATCAATTCAGCTAGA